TGGCCACATTGCTTCGCGCACTGCAGCATAGCATGCTCGAGCATAAGATCCGTAAATTGTTATTACAGTTTGAAAAAAAACAGGCACTAGTGTGATAATGGCGACTTTAAGGGAACCCTGATAGTTTCAGTTTATTGCTTGTATCGAAAATACTTTTGAGGTTTCATTGCATGACGATAAGTCTTTCTTATTTAATATCATATTGTCATGATACAATCTAGTTGAACTTGGAAATGTGGCTTTTTGATATCCTTCCATTTGAGGACAACACTTAACTTTTTTTTTTAACCAATATGAACTGCATCAAAATTAATGTAATCTGAGACAGATTGACATGAAGATACACAAGCCCACACCAAACTTGTAAATTCAATTTTGAGCAAACAAAAAAAAACATAGCAAGGCTGTACCAAAAACATTCCCATACTTTTGATCAGACGCCACATTTACATGAGTCCAAATGGGACTTGACAAAGCAGCCTGAGCATGATTAAAAAAAAAAAAAATTATGATGAAGCACACTATTCATTTTTCAACAGAAGTTTCTATTGTTACAGTTTCCTCATGAAAAAATATGTTCCTTTTTTCTTTGCTTTCGTGTATCTTAATTTGCATGATTTCTTAAACGGTTTAAGCAGAAACATTGTTTTTCAGTCGATGTATCTATAATCTCATTTGCACCAACAAAACGTGCATCTCACAAAATGAAAAAAAAAACGTATCTATCCATGAAGCTTCTTGTGGTCTGTGTTTGTGGTGGTGTTTGTGGTGTGTGTTGTTGTTGGTGTTGTTTGGGGGTGTGTGTTAGGGTGGTGTGATTTCTACTCTAAAACAGCCAATATACCAATGAACAACTAATACAAGTGATTATTAATAATCTAGTTTAATTATTCATTAATTAAAAATTAAAATTTGGAAGTCCTGAAAAACCCCAATTAACCAAAGTAACAAACAAACAAAAACAAACCAAAAAAAAAAAAACATGACAGTAAAACAAAATAACGTGACAGCAACAGCAATCCGACCGAGAAGAACAACAGGGAACCAAATACAAGCAAACCGACGAAATGAAAAGGAACACCTGGACGAAACGCAAAGGGTTGAGCGAGTTAATTGGTGAACACAAGGGACCCTGATGACAAGAACATGTGGGAACAAAATCGAACAAGGAAAACAAAAAAGGCACACGAGACAACAAAATTAAATTCGAAACAGAATCACCTTTAGGAAGGTTAAAAAGTCACGGAAAAGCTTTTTACACTGTAATCTACTATCGTACATTTTTATTATTATTATTATCACATGCTCATCCCTCTCGTTAACAATGTATTGCAACCGCGAAACTTTTTATCTTCATATGTTTAATGTCGAAGGACATTTGTATATTTTGTTTTCGAATGACTAACCTCTATTAAAATCCCCCCATGCTATTATTCAAGAAATCCAATGTGACGTTTGAAGTTAATTCTCCGCAGATGTAAAGAGCGAAAAACGACTCGTGGTGCCGCTGTGAGCCCACACAAACCGCACACATCTCCACCCATTGTCTTGGACCAGTTCCAAGAATCACTTCATCCCGGCGCGTTTCGTATTCGTCGTCGGACAAGTTAAATGACGGATCATTTCGATTTATTTCTGACGTAGTTTGACCGAGTATCACATTGCGAAGACCTGGATGTATGTTTTCCCCCGGAACAATGGTAGAAAAAGGAATTTCAGCGCGAGGCCCGATTGTCTGCTGCATTTCTGCTTTCATCGCGACGCTGTCCCTCGCTCATGGAGATCTCAGCTATTCTTTTCCAGAGGAGATGGAACCCTTGTCTGCTATTGGAAATATAGGCAAAGATCTCGGAGTGGACCTGAGGACATTATCTTCACGAAAAGCTCGGATTGATATCGAGGACACTCGGAGACGTTATTGTGATTTGAATCTGAGCACCGGAGATTTGATCGTCGCGGAGAGAATTGACAGAGAAATTCTTTGTGACAAGAAGCCCTCGTGCGTGGCAACAGTGGATCTGGTTTTGGAAAATCCTCTCGAGCTACATCGCGTCAGTCTCCACATTCAAGATGTAAATGATAACTCGCCGCACTTCAAGAAGAATTTAATTGAAATGGAAATAGGAGAGTCGGCAGAAAGGGGGAGTCGTTTTTCGATTGAGGAGGCCCATGATGCAGATATTGGCCAAAATGCTGTGAAAATATATAATTTACAAAAGAATTCGAACTTTATTCTTTCAGTTGACAGTAATAAAGTCGAGCTTGTCTTAGAAAATAAATTAGACCGAGAAAAGCAAAGTGAAATGAATTTGCTTCTCACGGCTTTAGATGGCGGCTCTCCACAGATGTCAGGCACAGTGGTCATACACGTCACCGTGCTGGATGCTAATGATAACGCTCCAGTGTTCAGCAAAGCCGTTTATAAAGCCAGTCTGCCTGAAAACTCTCCTCCAGATACAATAGTGATTAATGTTCGTGCCACTGACGCGGACGAGGGAGTAAATGGCGACGTGACTTATGATTTTGGACACGTGTCTGGCAATATTATAAGTGTATTTTCGATCAGTCCCGTGACAGGCGAAATTAAAGTAACGGGTGTGACTGATTTTGAAGAGAAAGCCTCCTATGAAATGAGAGTAGAAGCTAAAGATGGTTTAGGGCTGACATCGTATGCTAAAGTGATAATCGATATTACTGATGTAAACGACAACGCCCCTGTGATCAATTTAAAGTCTCTGGCTTATCCAGTGGCAGAGAATGTGTCACCTGGTACGGAGGTGGGCATCATTAATGTGCAGGACAGAGACTCTGAAAAGAATGGACAAGTGCGCTGCTCCATTGAACAAAACGTCCCCTTTAAGTTAGTTCCTTCTATTAAAAACTATTATTCTCTGGTGACGACGGAACAACTTGACCGTGAACTTGTGTCTGATTACAACATTACAATCAGTGCTACTGACGAGGGCTCCCCTCCATTGTCCTCTTCAAAAAGTGTTCTTTTGTCTGTAGCGGACATCAACGACAACCCACCTGTGTTTGAGGAACAGTCCTACAGCGCATATGTGAGTGAAAACAACAAAGCTGGCTGCACTTTATGCTCTGTGAGTGCTCAAGACCCCGACTGGAGACAGAACGGCACCGTGATTTATTCTCTGTTACCTTCCGAGGTGAACGGTGCCTCTGTGTCCTCCTATGTGTCTGTTAATGGAGACACGGGGGTGATCCACGCTGTCAGGTCGTTTGATTACGAACACTTGAGGAGTTTTCAAGTCCACGTCATGGCCCGAGACAACGGTTCTCCTCCGCTGAGCAGCAACGTGAGCGTCAGCGTGTTCATATCGGACGTGAACGACAACTCTCCTCAGATTTTGTACCCTTCCCCGGAAGGCAACTCCTTCATGACAGAGCTGGTCCCCAAAGCTGCACACGGAGGCTCTGTGGTGTCCAAAGTGATCGCGGTGGACGCCGACTCAGGACAGAACGCCTGGCTGTCCCGTCAAGGCCACAGACCCGGGACTTTTCACCATTGGTCTCCACAGTGGCGAGATCAGGACCCAGCGGGACATTTCGGAGTCTGACAGCATGAAACAGAACCTGATTGTGGCCGTGAAAGATAACGGACAGCCCCCTCTCTCTGCCACCTGCTCCATGTATTTACTTATTTCGGACAACTTGGCCGAGGTACCGGAGCTGAAGGAAATTTCTTATGACGACAAGAATTCCAAGCTAACCTCCTACCTGATCATCGCGCTGGTGTCCGTGTCCACCTTCTTCCTGACCTTCATCATCATCGTCCTGGGTGTGAGGTTTTGTCGCAGGAGAAAGCCCAGACTGTTGTTTGATGGAGCAGTCGCCATCCCCGGCGCGTATCTGCCTCCTAATTACGCAGATGTTGACGGCACAGGAACTTTACGCAGCACCTACAACTATGACGCCTACTTGACAACAGGCTCCAGAACCAGTGACTTTAAGTTTGTGTCTTCGTACAATGACAACACGCTGCCTGCTGACCAGACTCTGAGGAAAAGTCCAAGTGACTTTGATGAAATTTTTGGAGATATTCAAGGGTCACCTGAGGTATGATCAAGAGTCTCATTTTAGTTTGTCTAATTCACATTTTCCTGTTGGTGTTTATTACTCATGCTGTTGCTCATAACCGGTGTTTGAATCTGTCCTAGTTGCTTTTGGATGAAAGGCAGATATATTGCAGGTTGCTTGCCACTCAATCCCATTTACTGTTGGCCCACTTAGTCTTAGTTGTGCCATGTCTTTCTTCTTTCTTGATAACTTTATAGCTTGATTGGTTTGCTCATGAAATTTGATGGTTTAAGCAGAAACATTGTTTTTCAGTCGATTTATCGAAAATCTCAGTTGCACCCACAAAACGTGCATCTCACAAAATGAAAAAAAAACGTATCTATCCATGAAGCTTCTTGTTGTGTATGTTTGAAACGGAATTTGTCACGTCTTATTGTTGGAAAAGATTGAGGAAATATATTAAGACAATGTACTGGGGGATTCGGCTGTTGATGCTCCTTCACTGACGAAACTATCCTTTGTCAGTTATTTTTGTTTCAGCGGAATATGTTTTCATGGTCTGATAACAGTTCTGAGGATTTGTAGTTCAGGTGGTGAACCTGTTGTTCAGAAAGTCTCATGCTCATTTTGCCAGTGTAGCTTTGAAGCCAATGTGGCTCATTGTGTTGTCGCTCCTTTCACCCCTGTCCATGGTTCTGAAAATATGCTCTTTTTTTGTTGCTGGCATTGCAACGTTTTCTTCAGCAACTTCTCTCTCTCTTGTTAGGGAACGTTGAGCTCATGTTTGTATTATTTTGAACATGTCAACAATTTGTTTGTAGAGATGACATTCTATCTTGATGCGATCATATATTTCTAATTTGCATTTTTAATCTACTTTGACAAATTAGAGACCATCCAAAACCAGTCCCAATACTAATTACAGTAACTTTTTTTTTTCTACAACTAGGTGTTATGACAAAAATTGTACTCTAGATGTCAGTATGCTCTCATTATAAAACGGTCTTGAATTTCACACCCATTTGCGTCGACACACAAGTCAGATTTTATTGTTGTGTAGCTCTGGTTGAGACGCCGGATAACAAGACTTCTGTGGAAAAATCTGTGGATATTGGGGAGATCATATTCATATTGTTGTTCATCTTTTGATTCAACTTTCTTTGTAGTGCAATGGAGAACAAAAGATTTGCGCCGTTTGCTTACGGCCTCGCTTTTCTTGTCTTTTTCATTCGCACCATCGAGGGAGACGTGAGCTACTCTATCCCTGAGGAGATGAAACGTGGATCTGTAATCGGGAATATAGCCAAGGATTTGGGACTAAATGTGGGCCAGTTATCTGCTCGTAAAGCACGCATTGATCCGGAGGATGACAACGTGCACCTCTGCGGAATCAACCTAAACACGGGTGACTTGCTTGTTCAGGAAAGGATCGACAGAGAAGGTCTTTGCGGTAAAAAGGCATCGTGTGTTTTAAAACAGGAACTTGTCCTTGAAAACCCATTAGAACTGCACCGTGTTAGTATCCGTATTCTAGATATCAATGATAATTCACCACAGTTTTATGAAGATTCACTCAAATTTGAAATACGAGAATCAGCAGTTAAGGGTGCTCATTTTCTTCTCGGAGAAGCACACGATGGAGACATCGGAGAAAATGCTGTTCAAAGCTACGCTTTGCAGCAGAATGATCATTTTAAATTAAATGTAAACACTAAAATGGGAGGACGAAAGAACTGCGAATTGATCTTGGATAAAGAACTAGATCGAGAAAATAAAAAGGACATCATGCTTTTGCTGACCGCATATGATGGCGGCTCGCCTCGGAGATCGTGCACAGTGGTCATCCACGTCACTGTGCTGGATGCGAATGATAACGCTCCGGTGTTTAGTCAGCCTGTCTATAAAGCCAGTCTGCCTGAAAACTCACCTCTTGATACGTTGGTCATCATAGTGAGCGCAAATGACGCAGATGAAGGAATAAACAGCGAAATCTCATATGCATTTGACCATGCATCTGATGACAATATTAATATATTTTCATTACATCCCAAAACTGGAGAAGTGAGAGTGACTGGTGTTGTTGATTATGAGAAAATGTCATCTTATGAAATGCAAATAAGTGCAAGAGATGGCCTTGGCTTAGTGTCTTATTCAACATTAATCGTTGACCTTACAGATGTAAATGACAACGCTCCTGTAATCAATTTAAAGTCACTATCGAACCCAATATCGGAGAATGCGTCACCTGGTACAGAACTGGGCCTTATTAACGTGCAGGACAGAGACTCGGAGAAAAATGGACTTGTCCACTGCTCCATTCAACACAAAATGTCCTTTAAGTTAGTTCCTTCTCTTAAAAACTATTATTCTTTAGTGACCACTGGACAACTTGACACCGAACTTGTGTCTGAGTACAACATTACAATCAGTGCCACTGACGAGGGCTCACCTCCTCTGTCCTCCTCGAAAAGTGTTCACTTGTCTGTTGCAGACATAAACGACAACCCGCCTGTTTTTGAGGAACAGTCCTACAGCGCATATGTGAGTGAAAATAACAAAGCTGGCTCCACTTTATGTTCTGTTAATGCTCGAGACCCCGACTGGAGACAGAATGGCACCGTGATTTATTCCCTTTTACCTTCTGAAGTGAATGGTGCCCCGGTGTCCTCCTTTGTGTCTGTGAACGGAGACACGGGCGTGATCCACGCTGTCAGGTCATTTGATTACGAACACTTGAGGAGTTTTCAAGTCCACGTCATGGCCCGAGACAACGGTTCTCCTCCCTCTGTGGTGTCCAAAGTGATCGCGGTGGATGCCGACTCGGGACAGAACGCCTGGCTGTCCTATCATATTGTCAAGTCCACAGACCCGGGACTTTTCACCATTGGTCTCCACAGTGGAGAGATCAGGACCCAGCGGGACATTTCGGAGTCTGACAGCATGAAACAGAACCTAATTGTGGCCGTGAAAGATAATGGACAGCCCCCTCTCTCTGCCACCTGCTCCATGTATTTACTTATTTCGGATAACTTGGCCGAGGTGCCGGAACTGAAGGACATTTCTTATGACGACAAGAATTCCAAGCTAACCTCCTACCTGATCATCGCGCTGGTGTCCGTGTCCACCTTCTTCCTGACCTTCATCATCATCGTCCTGGGTGTGAGGTTTTGTCGCAGGAGAAAGCCCAGACTGTTGTTTGATGGAGCAGTCGCCATCCCCGGCGCATATCTGCCTCCTAATTACGCAGATGTTGACGGCACAGGAACTTTACGCAGCACCTACAACTATGACGCCTACTTGACAACAGGCTCCAGAACCAGTGACTTTAAGTTTGTGTCTTCGTACAATGACAACACGCTGCCTGCTGACCAGACTCTGAGGAAAAGTCCAAGTGACTTTGATGAAATTTTTGGAGATATTCAAGGGTCACCTGAGGTATGATCAAGAGTCTCATTTTAGTTTGTCTAATTCACATTTTCCTGTTGGTGTTTATTACTCATGCTGTTGCTCATAACCGGTGTTTGAATCTGTCCTAGTTGCTTTTGGATGAAAGGCAGATATATTGCAGGTTGCTTGCCACTCAATCCCATTTACTGTTGGCCCACTTAGTCTTAGTTGTGCCATGTCTTTCTTCTTTCTTGATAACTTTATAGCTTGATTGGTTTGCTCATGAAATTTGATTGCCCTCAAAGATAAAGTTGTTGTTGTAAGTCGGGTCATTTGGTTGAGAACATTTTCTACAATGGGGTAGTGCAACAGTGTTCATGAGCCAATAACGCTTCCTCACACATATGACTTCATCTGATCCTAACATACTTATTGTGCCCCATTATGTTCACATTTTCTGGACCATTTATTGATTTCTACCCCAGTTATCAAACTTGACATTGATCCAATATATACATATTTTTCTTAATTAACAGTCTGCAATATTTTTTTCTGAAAATTGTGACCAAGCCGGATGAAATTTCACAGCACAGTACTTGAATTTGACACGATGAATGGTCCAAAGTGAGACTGCTATTATTCAATCACTATTATTTGCCTAATCTAAAGTATTTTTCATATTCTTTGTTGGAACTTCTCCACGACTACTTTTGTCGACTACACTTTTGGTTTAATTTGGACTTTTTGTGAGTGATCATCTTAATGAAATAACGATTGACATTTCATTTATTGAAAAGTCACAACTTGTTAATTTTCCACAAACCAAATCAACAACAAGAATGCTTTGGTACAAAACATGCTCGTCTAAAATTGTTTGCTTTCCCCAATCAGTGACACGGCATCTGAGGAAACCCCAATTTGAACCTAACTGGCCACCCGCCTCAATTCGCCTCATATCACTAAAACAAACAAAACACTGAGTACTTGGGAGTCTAATAATCAAAACATGCAAGGCAAAACATGGAGCTCCTACATTCTTTATCGAGCCTTACATGAATTTAATCTTCATCCAGTTTCTCTTTAGCGACTGCTTATAACAAAAGGCCAGCCTTTGTCACAAAAATGCCATTTAAATGCTGTTGTTTAATGATGTCCGCCTTTATTTGCTTTAGTCTTCCGTCTGGAGCTCGTTAAACATTACAAATGAGAATTGTTCTCTGAATAAATAAATTTTAAATCGATAAATCCAAAGAAAATTTATATTTTCGGTTTGTTAAATATCTCAAGCCCATATATTTCTTTCATTCTAATCATTATTTGACACCAACCTGGTCTTTTCCTTGCACTTGTCAAGTCAAGTCACATTTATTTGTATCGCCCTTCATCACAAAAAACTCCCAAAGGGTTTCCACTGTGTTTAGGCCCTTCAAGTGTTTGCGGATGGCCTCGGGGTTGTCCGAACAGACCAGATCATCTATTCCTTACCTGAGTGATTTGCCTCCAAAAAGGACAGTGACGTTTTGAGGATAAAAGTGTCTTGAGTTGTCATCCGAGGCCTGTATAAGTTGACACCGTGTAACCTGTTTAGGGAACAGCTTGTAGAGGTCCCCAGGGGCAGCTGAAGCTGAAAAACACAGGAAGTTTGATCTGAAAATGTTTGTTTTTCTCACCATTACAAGTCCACAAGGTTGTAGTTTAATTACCCTCTCCCCCCCAAAAAAATTACACTACAATGACAGCTACATGCATTTCCAACGGACCTGATGCAGAGATCTTTAAAAACATACATAGCAAATATGCAAAATATTGATATTATTTTTGAGGTTTTTGTGGCATGCAGAAGCAAAGCCCAAAGTGACCCCCCCCCCCGCCCCCAAGTTGAAAATGCCTCTTAGTGCACTTTGTAGTTAGTGATGACATGTTAAAATCATATAGTACAATGGAAAAACTTGTTGGGTTTAATTTTCTCAATGTTATTTCATCAAGTGGGTGCACAAATTAAAATTTCTGGATCCGGATAAAAAAATTGTAACTAGATATACTGTATATGTTCTTATAAAATGTGCCTGCATTCAGATGATTCTATTTTTTGCAAATACTTGATGAAATAAAACGAAATAAATTCAACCCAATTTCTTTTTCAATGTATGATTACTGTAGTAAAATTTGTATTGGATTGTCCTGCGTGAAACAGTCTTGTAATACAGGCTGTCATGATATTTACTGTTGTTGCCTTGCTGATAAGCAAATATGCTCATACAAATTAATTTCGAGTATGATGTGGGAGTTCCTCTTTTTAAAAGAAAATATGTTCAGATTAATCATCACTTGATTTTCCAACGAGTGTTATCTCGTCCATTTTCATTTTAGTGAGCAAAAATTTTATTCATTTGTGGTCATCCTGAAATCAAGTTTTGTCATCACATAAGAACAAACTAGTATTTGAAGCATTATCGTGACAGTGTAGCCTAAAATGGGTGTATATTTCCAGATTATTGATTTTGAGTTGTGCATTGTACGTGTATTTGTAAATTAATGTAAAAACCTCACTGCAACGTGATTAACACACACCCACACACACACACACACACACACACGCACACACACACACACACACACACACACACACACACACACACACACACATATATTGATATATATGTTAATCATTTTTTAACACGCTGCAGCGGACTGGAACCAAAAGAAAAAAAAAAGTCTTGTCGAACATGTCAGACAGGCTCAGGTATACGTTGAAAATGAGATGCTCCATGATCAACTCCTGCATTTGCATTTGTTACAGTTAATTATGCAGTGAAGAAAAAAAATAGCAAAACACTCTTAATTATTAGAATAATGTAAACACCGTGTATGCGACAAAAGTGCTGTGTAAATAATGACCAACGAGTTGGTTTAACATTGTCTGTGTCGACATGAAACTGTACTCACGGTGGCGCAGTAGACCAGCTTTAAAATCATTGAACGCCCTTTTTTATTTTGTCGTGGAGTGGCGTGCTTGAATGTCAGTGATTTTGTAGACCACATTGTTCTCCTGCCCGTTCGGAAGGCGCGCGTAATGGGTTCGAAAATGTCCTTGTTTCCATCGCGCATCTTTTATTTCCTTTTCCTTTTGCTGCATTCCGCACACGGAGACGTGAGCTTTTCCTTCCCCGAGGAGATGAAACGAGGATCGGTTATTGGGAATTTAGCCAAGGATCTCGGACTGGAGGCGAGCGCGCTGTCCGGCAGAAAAGCGCGCATCGACGCCGACGGGAGCGGAAAACGTTACTGTGATCTTAACGTGAGAAACGGAGAGCTGATTGTGGCCGACAGGATTGACAGAGAGGGGCTTTGTGACGACAGGGCTTCATGTGTCCTAAAATATGAGGTGGTCCTGGAGAATCCACTGGAGCTCCATCGAATTAATTTGCACATTCAGGATGTAAATGATAACGCCCCTCTGTTTAAGGATGACTTAATTGATTTGGAGATAAGGGAGTCAGCCGTCAAAGGGGCTCGTTTTGTGATAGAGGAGGCCCACGATGCGGATGTAGGACAAAATTCAGTTCAGCAGTACTTGCTCAAGAAAAATGATAATTTCGTTTTGTCTGTCAGTGGTAACACAGTAGAGCTCGTTCTTGACAATGAACTTGACCGTGAACAAAAGCAAGACATTAATTTGCTTCTCACAGCTTTCGATGGCGGCTCTCCTCGGAGATCAGGCACAGCGGTCATACATGTCACCGTGCTGGATGCTAATGATAACTCCCCAGTGTTCAGCCAGGCCGTTTATAAAGGCAGTTTGCCTGAAAATTCTCCTCCTAACACAATAGTGATAAATGTGAGTGCTAGCGATGCAGATGAAGGGGTGAATGGGAATGTGACTTATGATTTTGGACATGTGACAGAACATGTTAAGAAGTTATTCAGCATTGATCGTAAAGTGGGTGCTATCGCTGTAGTTGGCACTGTTGACTATGAATCTAGCACATCATATGAACTACGTGTGAAAGCCAAAGATGGGCTCGGGCTATCCTCTTATGCAAAGGTGATTATTTCTATCACTGACATGAATGACAACGCCCCTGTGATCAATTTAAAATCTCTGTCTAATTCAGTTGCAGAGAATGTGTCACCTGGTACAGAGGTGGGCATCATTAATGTGCAGGACAGAGACTCTGAAAAGAATGGAAAAGTGCGTTGCTCCATTGAACAAAACGTCCCCTTTAAATTAGTTCCTTCAATTAAAAACTATTATTCTTTAGTGACCACTGGTCAACTTGACCGTGAACTTGTGTCTGATTACAACATTACAATCAGTGCCACTGATGAGGGCTCACCTCCGTTGTCCTCTTCAAAAAATGTTCACTTGTCTGTAGCAGACATCAACGACAACCCACCTGTGTTTGAGGAGCAGTCCTACAGCACATATGTGAGTGAAAATAACAAAGCTGGCTCCACTTTATGCTCTGTAAGTGCCCGAGACCCCGACTGGAGACAGAACGGCACAGTAATTTATTCTCTGTTACCTTCTGAGGTGAACAGTGCTCCGGCATCCTCTTACATTTCTGTGAACGGAGACACGGGGGTGATCCACGCTGTCAGGTCGTTTGACTACGAACACTTGAGGAGTTTTCAAGTCCATGTCATGGCCCGAGACAACGGTTCTCCTCCGCTGAGCAGCAATGTAAGCATCAGCGTGTTCATATTGGACGTGAACGACAACTCTCCTCAGATACTGTACCCTGCCCCAGAGGGCAACTCCTTCATGACCGAGCTGGTCCCCAAAGCTGCACACGCAGGCTCTGTGGTGTCCAAAGTGATCGCGGTGGACGCCGACTCGGGACAGAACGCCTGGCTGTCCTATCATATTGTCAAGTCCACAGACCCGGGACTTTTCACCATTGGTCTCCACAGTGGCGAGATCAGGACCCAGCGGGACATTTTGGAGTCTGACAGCATGAAACAGAACCTGATTGTGGCCGTGAAAGATAACGGACAGCCCCCTCTCTCTGCCACCTGCTCCATGTATTTACTTATTTCGGATAACTTGGCCGAGGTGCCAGAACTGAAGGACATTTCTTATGATGACAAGAATTCCAAGTTGACCTCTTACCTGATCATCGCGCTGGTGTCCGTGTCCACTTTCTTCCTGACCTTCATCATCATCGTCCTGGGTGTGAGGTTTTGTCGCAGGAGAAAGCCCAGACTGTTGTTTGATGGAGCAGTTGCCATCCCCGGCGCGTATCTGCCTCCTAATTACGCAGATGTTGACGGCACAGGAACTTTACGCAGCACCTACAACTATGACGCCTACTTGACAACAGGTTCCAGAACCAGTGACTTTAAGTTTGTTTCGTCCTACAATGACAACACGCTGCCTGCTGGCCAGACTCTGAGGAAAAGTCCGAGTGACTTTGATGAGATGTTTGGTGATGCTGAAGGTTCTACTGAGGTATGATCAATACTCTCAATTTACTATGTTTCCCAAAGGCATTCAACTCTGAAACAGTTGCTCGTGTGCTGTTTGGGTTTATCCAAGCTGATAATTGGTGAAAAGCAGACTTTTTACCAAATTGGTAATCACTCTTATCACAAATATTTCTTCCTATTTAATTTATTGCTTCCTTGGCCCTTACAGCCAGCTTTTCTTGGGATCCACGTGATTGCTTCATGGCTTTACTTGTCATTGGTCAGCTCTTAAGATTGATAACACCTCACCCCCCCAAATACACACACACACACACACACACACACACGCGCACACACACACACACACACACACACTCTTATAGTGCGTACGAATGTGTAAAGAACTTTTTTTGATGACAACCCAATTAAGATGACTGCATCCTCTGATCACAACATACGCATTGTGTATTGGAACATGCACATTTCTTAAGTTTTATGGAGAAAAGATTTCCCCCCCTCAAGTTGTAAAACTTGATGTTGATGAAAAACGTATACAGTATTTTGAGCACCCACCGTCTGCTCTGTTCATTCTGTAGTTTGAAACAAGGTTGGGTAAAATTTTACTGTAGTTATTAATATTCTTACAAGACGGTCTTTAGTTGCTGATATCAAGTGGCCTTTTGTCACTAATGTGAATCACATATAGTTTCATATTGTTTGCCTTCGCAATCTTTATTTGTTTGTTATCCCGATAGACAATATGTATCTCCATTGTGGTTCTTCTGTTAACATACTCGACAGTAGATTATTGTGATTTCACTTGAACGCTGGGTCCTTTATGAGATTTTATTTTATTGTTCTTACTGGATGTCCTTTTGCTGGTTGTCTGCACCTCAGGCCCAAGCTGTCAAATCAGATGAGACAGCTTTGAGAACCTGCATGTGTCATTTGGCTTCCTGTGATGCTTTGGTGATGAAATGTGTTTGTTAAGTTGTCATTTGAGGACATCCCAAGTTGAAGCTTGCACCTGTGAGGGTCGAACACCTAAAAGAGGCAATCAGCTGCAGCTGACATCTGTTCTTCAGATTTTTATTTTCCTCACCAATGCCAAAATTGCACAAGAGGTTTGATAAGCCTTCGTGGCTCTGTAGTTTCATTACCTGACCCAAATGATCTTTCAGAGTGACAAGCATGACAGCCACAGGGGTTGCCATCTGGTCTTCACAATAATATTTAAAATCACATCAATACATAAATGTGATCATCTGGTAAATTTGAATTACATCTTTTTCTGTTGGGTGGCACAACGATTTTCTGGTTAGCTAGCACGTCCGCCTCACACTGCAGAGGTGGAGGGTTCGATTCCAGCTGCGGCCTTTCTCTGTCGCATTTAAATGTTCTCCCCGTGCCTGTGTGGATTTTCTCTGGGTGCTCCGGTTTCCTCCCACATTCCAAACACATGCATGGCAGGCTGATTGAACACTCCAAATTATCCCTAGGTGTGAGTGTGAGTGCGGATGGTTGTTCGTCTCTCTGTGCCCTGCAATTGGCTGGCAACTAGTTTAGGGTGTCCCCCTGCCTACTGCCCGAAGACAGCTGGGATAGGCTCCAGCATGCCCCGCAACCTTTGTGAGGATAAGCGCATCAGAATATGGATGGATGGATGAATATTTTTCATTTACATTGCAAATAATTTTCTCCAATGTGTTGTAGAGTACTTGCAAAATAACTGAATTGCGACAGGTTGAAAAGATTTGCATGGTGAGGCATTCCGATGATTTATGATGAGCATTTGTTCAAAAGACAAATGCCTTGTTTCATGCATGCTCAGTGTGTCTTGATTATTTCAAACAACTTAAGAAACTTAAGAGCAGTGTGGAATTTTGCTTGGGGTGCCATCACGGGTAGAGCTGTGATGACAATTTTCAGGCCCCATATAAGAGGCTCTATGAAGAATATTTTCAATGTGCGGCATTGAAGTAGAAATGCCCACACTGATATTGTCTCATTCAGTCCCAAATGTCCGGCAGCACCCTTGGTAGTTACTGCTTTTATTATGATAAAAATCAAATGATGTGCTGAGGATAAATGTTGATTTGATTTTCCTCCTTGAAAAATAATCAATGTACTGTGTATCTGCAGCTTTATAAAATAATGTTTTCAACATATTAATTGTGGCTGTGTTGCTGATCTGAAATGAAAAATTAATCCAGTGTTTTGTTTAATGTATGATGGTTTTCTTGTGGTTGTATTCAATATGTGTCATAGCAAATCAGTATTTAAACCATTGAGGCCTCGCGAGTGTCAAATGTGAAGTGTACATCCAGATGAGTGATTCTGAGTTATCAAACAAAGTGAAAAACCTGCTGCAGAAAAAAAAAATCTTATCGTTTGTTCACAACAGTCAGTGCTTAATTCTTTGAGGCACTTTTATGGTCAACATTTATTCATATGACATTATATTATATTATACTTCATTATATTATATTCTTTGGTGCACTTTGGCGGCAACCAATACAACCGGTTGTTTTATTTGGCTTGTGAATTAAGGTAACATGTCACTCGGTTTCTATCTATCGGGAAACTTATTTTTTTTAAATCAGCGCCTACACCTGTAACCCTTCATCAAACTGTAAAAAAAAAAAAAAAAAAACACATCT